AGTGCTCCCGGCTGTCTGGTCCTCTGTGAGACATGGTGTGTGTCCCCTTTGGCATGGGAGCTGATGCTTTTGCCGGGCTTGCCTTGACTACTGCAGGGCGAATGAGTGGTGGTTTCTTCGGACACGGCGGTGGTGGCAACACGCGGGCATCAACGGGGCCGCACGTCTTGTCCGTTGTCAGTCCTGCGAAGACACTGCACTACGTCCCCGTGACCATCCGGTAGGAAATAGTAATTTCCAGTATGAGTTCAATGCCATGCTTGGTCTTGACGTCACAGAAATGAAGGACTATGCAGGAAACAAGTATAGCATCCTCACGATGCTGGACATTTCGACAGGATTCCATTTGTCAGAGGTTGTCAAAGAAGGTGGAGGTATGCCAACGTCAGAGGCCTGTGCGCAAGCCATTCTTCGTAGATGGATCAGTTGGGCAGGTTTTCCAAAGGCTGCAATCATGGATAGAGGTGTCCACAACCGAGGTGAGGTGTCCAAGCTGTTCGCTTCGCATGGTGTCGAGATTTTCTATGCACCATTGGAAACACCATCAGCCATTGCCAAGGTTGAAAGGCACCAAGGTATCTTGAAGGCAATCCTCAGGAAGACAATCCATGACATGGAAGCCGTAGGTCGTAATGCATTCGAAACATGCTTGCATGAATGTACTTCCGTGAAGAATCACATGCAGAGAGTCCAAGGCTATTCACCAGCACAATGGGTCCTGGGAAGGAACCCAAGAGTTCCAGGATCTGTGACAGACATGGATGAAGCAGGAAACTTGGGCATCTTGGAGAACAAGCTTGACCCTGCAGCAAGCTACCATTTGTGTCATGCATCTCGCATGGCTGCGCAAAAGGCATTTATTCATTTGGATACAAGTTCCCGTGTTGCCAGAGCATTGACCAGGAATGCAGCAGTCCAGAACAAGAAGTCATTTGTGGTTGGAGACCTCGTGGTCTACCGTCGTGACACCCAGCAAGGTGGAACCGTGTGGTCCACTGCTTCGCGTGTGATTGGCATTGATCCGCATAATGGCATCTGGTTGCTACATGAAGGTATTCCTGTTTTGTGCGCTGCTGGAAAACTCAGATCAGCAAATGAGAGTGAATCTTTGGCCTACTCCATTTTGAACAACATCCCGGTTTTCCCGGAGGCAGTGACATTGGGACAGCAGAAGTACATCCGAATGATGGACGAAGAGGCAAGCCCTAAGAAGGGACAGAAGAGAGAAGCACAAGCAGAAGATAAGACGGGCAAGGCTGCCCGATCATCTGCAAGCGCAAGCGGAAGCGCAGTCGCAGTTCCGATGACCCCCGGAGGCATTGTCGGTGACGATGAGGTCATGCTTGCATTGGTTGAGAATGAAGACCATTGGAGAATCTCTGAGAGTCATGCAATTCGTGTTCACAACAAGAGGAGATTCCATGACTTCCATCCGCTGTATGACGGAGATGTTCCGGAAGGATTCGGAGGAAGACGCGTGACCAGAAAAGTCTACGAAGACGGTAGTCGAGTGACCAGCGAGTTCATGCCGGGCATGGATGATGTTGACTCTCGCGCGTGGACAGGTTTCACTGTCTTTACACGGGCAAGACACCCGTTGACCGCCGTGGCCGCCGTCGACGACACTGGACCCGACGCTGCAGAGTTTCGAGCCTTCGTAGCTCAGCGCTTTGGAGAAAACAGTGAGACGCAGGCTGGCAAAGTGGCACGGACGCTGCAGTACGACCGCTGTACTCCTGAGATGCAGGCCCGCATCTTGGACGCACGTCGTGCAGAGTGGAGCAAATATAGGAGCTTCAATGCTGCGATGCCCATTCGAGGCAAAGAGTTGGAAGAGTTGCTTCAAGAAGGGCATGTTCCCATACCCATGCAATGGGTAGATGTGGATAAGCAGGCTCATCTGACAGGCACGCCTGAACACCAGCCTGAAAACAGATCTCGTCTAGTCGCTTGTGGAAACCACGAACAAGTGAGCCGTGATGCACAGGGCATCCGCTGCGACAGCCCCACAGCTGAGACCGAAGGACACATGTTGATTGCGAGCTTCGCATCAAGCCATCGTGTGACCCTGTACGCGGCAGATGTTTCCTCGGCGTATTTCCAGAGTCAGCCAATGACGAGGTTGCTGCTCAAGCAGCCACGTGGTGGAATACCAAGTCCGGATGTACCACCGGACGCTATGCTGGTTGCACGCCTTCCGATCTATGGCACGATCGATGCAGGCAGAGGCTTTTACTTGAGGATGAATGGTGAGATCACCAGTGCCGGGTTGAAGTGCAGTCGCATCACACCTGCATTGTACTATTTGCACAATCCCAAGGGAAAGTTGATCGGCATGATCGCGACGCATGTCGATGATTTGTTGTATTGCTAACCTTGATGAAGGCAAGAAGACAATTGAAGGCATCCTCAAAAGGTTCACGATTGGCAAAACCGAGTCAGGCAGATTCCGATACTGCGGACGACAGTTCGTACAGCATGAAGACTACTCCGTGAGCATTTCTACAAGTGAGAACTGCAGAACAGTGAAGCCGATCGAAATCGACAAGCGTCGGAAGCTGTCGGAAAAGGTGACAGAGAAAGAATTGACAAGCCTCAGGAGCGTTGTTGGTAGCTTGGCTTGGGTCGCACGTTATGGAAGACCAGATCTTTGTTACCGTGTGAATGAGATGCAACGTGCATGCAGCGCAAAGGCAACAGTGCAAGACTTGAAGAACGCCAACAAGGTTGTTGAATTGGCACTTCAAGGAAGTGACTTGCAGATCACCTTCAAGAGTGATTGGATTGACTGGAGCGATTTGGCAGTTGTGACGTTTAGCGACGCAAGTTTCGCAAACGAAGAGGGCTTTAAGAGTCAGCAAGGCCGCATTCACTACATAACGAATGCGAGCAGCCTCAAGGAAGGCAGTCACGAAATGCATCTGATCAGCTTTGGTTCAACTACCTCAAAAGGGTGTGTCGTGCTACATTGCAAGCAGAAGCATATGCTCTGCAAACTGCAGTCGAACATGGAGATCGTCTACGGTGTCTGATCTGTGAGTTGACCGGACGACTTGATGACTTCAAGAACTGGCACGAGGAAACTCAGAGACGAATGGCGCATGTATACTACACCGATTGCAGGAGCTTATCGGACCATTTACTGGCAGAGGTTCCGAGAAAAGTACAAGACAAAAGGCTTGGCATAGAACTTGCTGCATTGAGGCAAGGAGTGTGGACTGTGAATGGCGAGAAGACATCGGAGATCTACAGTCCCTATGGTGACCGCCTGAGGTGGATTGAGACGTCGAAGCAATTGGCAGACCCGTTGACCAAGAGCATGAGGCCAGACTACCTCCTCAAGACACTGGAAAGTGGACTTGTCAATGTCGAGAACAGTGGCGCATGCGAAAAGGGAGCCAAGACGGAAGATGAGGAAGTTTCACAATGACTTGTTTTTGAGAATTCGACATGGAAAGGCGTGGTTTACGGCCCCACGGGGAATCGAGTTTGCTTGGCTGCCTTTGTACAAATTTGAACTGTAAAGCCCGCAACACACCTGTAGATAAGACGGGTGTGAATTTTACCGGTTGTAGCCAGGGTGTATTGCGTACAGTTGATGCACCGCCGCTGCTGTCTCGGCTAAATAGGGCCCTTGAGTCGATTCGCTGCTGCGAAAAGGAACCGTGCGAGATTCAAAATTGTATATTATATTTGTCATATCTACATACTGTATATGTATATATGCATCCTTTCTCCGGCAGGGCTGGACATCCCCCTTGCCAGCAAGAAGGCGGCCCTCAAAGCTTGTCTGGGGCACCCGGCTTGATGGAAGGGGCGGACAGCATCAACAGAATGTGGCACCGGCAAAGACATTTTGGGGCGGCGCAAATTATCAAGTCTGAAATGCTAAATAATGTGTTTCAAAGAAAATCCAAAAGGGCGTAGAGTTAGCAACGGTGCACGCTTTTTGTTCAACACTTCTGCCTGCAAACTGCAGGTGGAATTGAACATTCAACGTCTCAACCAGCTCCCGCTGCCCAATATTGAGCCAGAATGACTTCACAAGGGTTCGCCTGCAGCGAATACAGATGTCCCCATGTGCACCAAGGAGTGAACCAGAATCTAGATCAATCAAGCTCTAGGGAGAGGGCGTATAATATATATATATATACATATAGTTATTTAATACTGAGGCGCCTGCCTTGGTCAATGGGAGCAGGCACAGGGATCTCCGGCGAGCATGTGTTTTGCCGGTTTGTCACTTTATCTAAATCTAATCTATGGGATGTCGCGATTTGGCTGCCAGCCTTGCAGGCTTTGGTCATGCTGGAGAGCTTTGAAGAGCAGAGCAAGGTGGAGCCGACATGATCTTGACACACATTGTCATCTTATGGAAGCACACCTGGTATGCAACAGCCATAGACTCAAGTAGAGACAGCCTAGTAGATACAACATCATTTTCTCATGCACTAGTGGTTCTAAGTTCTATGTTCAATTCAGGAAGAGTTCTATGTTCAACGCTACTAGGAGCAAAGCATCGCTACTAGGAGCAAGAACGCTACTAGGGGCTCCTGGCCGTACTACTAGGAACAAGAAGCTATTAGAAACAAGTAACATGTTTAGTTCCAAAAGTTCCATAGTTTCTTCTATGCCTCCAGTGTGCGCTGCATGGATTCTGCTTTTGCTCCGGCTCTTTGAGGCTGAGACAGTGGGGCATGTCTGTCTCTTGTGCACCCTTTCAGCTGCCTCAGCCTTTCAGCATCACATCATACATATCAAGCCTGCAGCTAGTGGCACACCTCGGAAACACTCGCCCAAAGTGTAGAGAAGCAGCAACCGCAGCAAAACACAATTAAGAGATCCTTTGGCTCAAAGATACTGAATTATATAGAAGTCAGATGTCTTTTGCGTTGAGCGGTTCTTACGCTTGATGAGCATACAGCCTTACATATTTGCATACATTGGCAGCAGCAAGCAGGCCTGGAACTTACAGTTCAGCACTCTGGCTGTATGGAGCCATGAAGATTCTGGTGAAGCCAATTAGAGGCTTGATACATGAAGGAGTGTGTGCCACACAGTATGTCGAACCTACTGCAAGGGAAACAGTCCCAAGAAGCGGCTCAAGTGGTTTTTTGTGTGGGTAGCGTTTCTGGAAGGGACCCCACGAATCTCCACAACCTCTTGTCATCTCAATGTGTAGTCACCATCTAATCAGCAAGCCTTTAGGTGTGGAGGTTTCCAATTGTTTTGACTCGTTTGACTGGAAGTTTGTTAGAGCTCCCCTGAGAGGAGCTGGTGGTGTGGCTTGCATTATTCCAGAGGCCAAACCACTTTGGTTGGTCGGCCGTGCCACCGATGAGGAGCTCTTTATTTGGAGCGCCTGGGAGATCTTGGGGACTCTCGGAGCCGAACCAGGGTCCGATTTCTTGTTCCTAGTAGCGATGCCAGGAGCCCCTAGTAGCTTCTTGCTCCTAGTGCTTCCGATTTCAAGTTGGCGCATCTGATGCTGGGATATGGGATTGCTGTTGGCAACCTTTTCCCAGACTGGAACTGACATCAATCAAGAAGTGTTCAATGTACGGAGGTGGAGGGATCGATGTTCCAAGTATTAAGCCTTGGCTATTGACGCACCACATGTCATGCTGCCTAATGTTTTGGCTTTGCTGACTTGCCACTTGGCACCAAGCCAAGCTGGTCCAAGGACCGACCTGGCTTCCTTCCAGCGCGTTTCAGCCCTGCTGCCCTGTGGCCTGGCAGTGCTGGGGATCTTCTACCCCCATGGAGCTGTCACGCAGCTCCACAGTAGGCTGCCTGCTTTGCGGTTGAGTGCGAGCGAGGAGGACGGGGTACTGCACGGTCAAGTGGCTGGCACTGAAGTCAGAGATTGGAAGGCCGGACGAGCCAGAGACATCTTTTGTTGTGCTGCAGGCTGTGTGAAGCTTGGAGTGAAGATGGTGAAAATAGATGAATAATGATATAGTTGAAGATAAGTTTGATAAGTTTGGTCAGCGATAGCTTGAAAACTCTGACACCTCCCTCCCCCGGGACATCTCAACGTTCAAGCTGCAAGAGTTGGAAGCATGATTCAATTCATGATATGAGTTTGCGTCCCCTTGAGGTTTAGTTCATCTATATAGCATTGTTGCGCTCTTTGTTTTCGGCACCTTCAGGTTGCGCAGCCCTCTGATCTCTTAATCCGCGCGTCTCTTGAAGTGTCCCTGCCACCAACAGAAGCTGTCAGCACGCTGAAGTCGATGATTCGCGATGCAAGGCAGCTACACTTCCGCTTTCCTGGCTCTACGCTGTTGCCCACTCTTTCAGATCTGAGAAGCCTTGCAGTGGGCCCGACAGTCTCGGTTGTACCCAATGGAAAGGAAGTGGTGGTGGAAGTGTTTTCAGAAGATTTTGGGGCTTCTGGCTGCTCCAACTTCCTGGATTTCACTTCATCAGTGCCTTTGACTCAGCGCATGGATTTTGCGGCTTATGTTCCGCAGAATGCGCCAGTGGCGAAAATGGCCGAGGAATTGGTGGAAGCTGCTGTCCAACAACTCAATATTCTTCTGGCAGCTCAAGACTCACTGGGTGACGATAGAAATCTTAGCGTCCGCTGCTTTTTGCCAGAGCTTCTGGGTCATGCAGTGTGCTTGAGGGGAACCGAGGATCGCAGTGTTCGACAAGAGCTGCACAGACTACTCAGACTTCCAGAGGAGCCACTACTAGTCCCAGATGCTGCCCTTGCGCTGCCTGGTCAGGCCATGAGCCCGAAATTAACCTGGTTATGCTATGTTTTGCACAGGGCCTTTTGGGGTGGAGCCTCTTTGGGGAAGATGTTGCAGGGTTGATCATATTGCGAGTTTCTTGGGAGGTGGCCCACGCTGCACAGTTGGCCTTGTTTTGCAGGGGTGCTTGAGATTTCTCAGGCCCACACTTTTCTGGTTCAAGTCTTCGGTCCTCAAGAGATTTGCATGTCCTAGTCAAGAGATGTGAAGAGCCTAGTAGAGATTTTGGCAGCACTTCTGCCCGACCCACACCAAAGCGCCACCATCATCTCCCAATTGTCACCGTTGGTCACCATTTTTCACCGCCTAGCACCTTAAAGTCGCCCTAGAGGCCCTAGCTCGGGCCAGTGGCAAACCGATGAATCCTCATGCGGAATGTGGATTGCAGCCTGCTTGGTGGAAGGGAGGTGAAACGACCCAGAGAGCTTTTGTGCGAGGGCTGTATGAATACAACCATTACATGCAGGAGGGAAACATGGGCGACTGACTCATTTGAGCCCCGGTTTGCCACACTCCTTCCGCGACCTTGAAACCTGTTCGTGCTTTGACTTCCTGAAGGGTTTGTCAATACCATAAAGAGATAGATACATAGATAGCTGGCTGCCAAATATATAAGACATTTCAAATATTTGTGCGACCCTGTCTGCCACAAAACATATAGGAGGATACAGGATACCTCACTAACTATGAATCAAATGATCTCCAGAACCAGTAATTGGCAATAAACCGTTACAACTGTTACAACTCTGATTTTAGATGATCTTAGTCATGGACATGAGTTAGTCTTAGCACCTCTAACCCGTTCAGTTACCTTCTAGGGTCATTGACCATTAAAAATAGTTTTGCAATATATGTCGTTGACGACTTTAATGCTTTAGTTACACCTCACACTAGGATGGCTAAGCTGCAATCATTTCACGAAAGGTAGCCCTTCAGGGGATACCTTGAGTTTGTCTTGCGAAGCAAGTGTGGGCTCCTCCGGATCTAATAATTGAGAGTTCAATTCACCCCCCCCCTTGGAATTAATTTTTAAAACACACCCCCCCCCCCCTTAGAATTGTTTTTTTTCATTTCAGCCCCCCCCCCTCTGACCGCTTCATCCCGAAGTGGATCAACTCGACACCTCGATGGTTATTTGGTGTCCCTCTGACCGCTTCATCCCGAAGTGGATCACCTCAACACCTCGATGGTTATTGTGGTGGAGCGCTCTAAGCTTGGAGCAGTGTTTGAATCCATGAAGAGACATGATATGCTGTTTTTAGTTTTTCTTCCCGTTGAGGATTACCATATATCTATATATATATATATATGTGATGTACATATCGAACTTTGGTCTTTTCCCCCATTCTCAAGTTGACGTTTGATTCGACTCCACCAACAACACACTGCATATGTTACATGCTTATTTTCCTTCCGCTGTCCTACCTTTCGTGTATCCTTCTTCTCAAGTTTTTTAAAACTTCACCTGGCAGTTTTAGGGTGGGAACAAATTGCCATTCCAAGATAAGCGTATTCAGTGGGATGGCTAAAATATCCCTTCATATATTTTGAGGACAGGGTGGGCACACATATTTTAAGTGTGTTAACTGGCAGCCAGATAGATAGATGATATATATATATATATATGACATGACCTTCTATGTTTTCCCTCCCTGCGAGGACAACTTTGATGACAATGGCTGGGGCTGTGCTTACCGATCATTGCAGACATGTGTAAGTTGGTACCGCATGCAGCACTACAGCACAGAAGGTGTCCCCAGCATACCGGAGATACAACGCTTGCTGAAGTGCATCGATGAGGCCCACAAAGATTTGGAGATAGGGAGCAAGAAGTGGTTCTTTGGCGAAATCTTAGTCTCTTATAGTCTAGCTCACACTTGCTTGTTCGCTTTTGCTTCCTGACCCTTGCTCGCTGACCCTGACTTCCTTGCTTTTGCTGATGTGTTTTCCACTCCGCCACAATGCTCAGAGTGATTAGAGCTAGAAGATTACTGCAACTGCCGAGGATTGGCACGGTGGAGGGCATGTACTTGTTGCAGGAATATTTGAAGGCCGGATACTTGTTGCTTGTGAGCGGCGTCTTCTGTATGAGATGCAAAGCTGAATTGAATGCCCATAATGGGATAGACCTCAGTCAGCATGCTGTGGCATGGCACGCATTCTAAAGAATGAGTGGTTTGATAGCAATCCACCGTAATCCACGTCGCTCAGGTGGATTGCAAACTGATGTACTGCCAAGACTGTGCAGACATGGCGAGCCAAGCCCCACAGATGCTTCAGCACTTGGAGACTGAGGGTACGCCTATCATGATGGGTTTCATGGCCGGAGATGCCTAGGAACTCAATCCAACCACATTGAGAGGACCTACCTACAGGTTCACAAAAAATAGCACAAACATATTGGTTTGGCATCATGCCATTGCCGAAGTCAGAAGCGTAGATATTAAGACATGATGTAGCATCTCTTTCTTTGCTGTGAGCCCTGCTGTGCTGGCCCACCGAATTGTGCAGCTACTTAACTTTGAAGGTTTGGGATCCACTAAGTCACTAAGCTTCACAGATTCCATTTTCGACATGCCATTTCAATTTCATTGTTTGCGCAAGACTCGTGGTAAGAAGCCATCAAGACAAAGGCAGTCAGGCCAGTAACTCCCTGCTACTGTGGAGTAGTTGGGCACCTCTGTGAGGCGGCGGGGAGCCACGCCTGGGAGCCCCCAGTAGCGATGCCAGGAGCCCCTAGTAGCTTCTTGCTACTAGTAGTGATGCCCTTGTTATTAGTAGCGGTGCACTTGTTTCTAGTCACTAGCATTGGGTGAGCATGACATTCTGAAAGAGATTTTCCTGATGCATAGTCCGCATATGCCAGGTCAGCGGGTCGGATACTGAATGGTAATTGTTTTGCACAGCCTGCCGAATTCAAAAAGCCAAAGGAGCATCACATCACATGGTTCATTTCTTCATTGCAACACCTGCAAATGGGCCTTGCGAACTCATGAAGTGTTTGAACCACAAAACGGCCAGCCCTTTCATGCCGACAGCTTTGTTTCCATTGTTGACCCGTTCTGAGCAGTCGTAGCGTCGTAGCGCCACTTTCGCAGTCGTCCTACAAAAAGCCTGCAATTCAGGTGCAGGAATGTATGCATATACCCTGGTTGGCTTGTGCTTTGATTCTGCCTCCGGTGATGATCCTTGGCTGCTTCAAGTGCGGCTTCACGCAGGGACGGGTGAGGAGTCGCGTCGCTTCGGCAGTCAGCGTCTTGGGTCTTGGATGAGCTCAGGTGGCTTACTTGATCGTGGATCCCCATTACACTGGCAAGGATGACCTGAAGCCGATCCTTTCCAAGGGCTGGGTTGGTTGGAAGACCCTTGTCCGGAAAGGTTTTGTGACACTTCGGCTTTTGATGGTGTGCGTCAAGTCCAACATTTGTGTAGCACCAGAAGCTGTGAGCAAATGAGTAGGCAACTTCATTCGCACACAGGAATCTAGAGTTCTTTGAGAAGAGCACCGATGGGAGCCACTCGGCCGGCAGATTATGGCAAGTATCGAATTCTTAGAGGATTAGAAGAACCTTGGTGTTTGATATTCGGACCGATCAGGAAGAATTCAAATGACTTGATTGACATTGACCGTTTTGGCATGTTTTGGCCATCCTAGGCTTCATTAACTGTTGCTTGCCTTTGGTACCAAGAGGCTCCGAGCAGGTGTGACCACATGCGAGAAAAAGGTGGAGTGCCGGAGTGAATGGATGTGCCTGGATTAGCCCACGAGGCACCGTCACCAGAGTCTCGCCAGGACTTCGGCCTGGTGATCCAAGCATGCTGGAGAGGAGTGTCAGTCCCAGAATGCTTGGAGTACGTGCGCGTGTCAGGACGGTAAAAGGGGAGTTATGCAGAGAACCATAGCCCCAAAAATGAAACCCACAGTCGTGTCCATCAAAACAAACCATCGAACATGACCGTCGAATCTGTAGGGGGATGTCCTGGGATGCCCTTTGTTCCTAGTAATTAGCTTCTTGTTCCTAGTAGTAAGGCCAGGAGCCCCTAGTAGCGTCCTTGCTCCTAGTAGAAAAGCCCTTTGTTACTAGTCCTAGGCGTGGGAGCAAGCGGTGCAGCTGTTGGAGATGGCAGGCCCAATGGCTCGGCTGCACAGGGAAAAAGTCAGAATCCGGGATTTGCGTGGTCGCACAGTTGTGCTTTCTTCAACCTTTTGTATTATTGAGTGTGTCCTGGATCCATTTGGATTGTGATGCAGTAAGTTCAGACCAGATTATTCCAGAATGATCCAGAATGTATGCATCCAGGGGAGCAGCAGTTGCCGCTAGACTCCAAAACCTATGCCTCTGCAATGAGGGCGCCCAGAGCCCAGCCAAAGGTTCGGAAGAATTTAGCAGCAAGATCTTCTTTTTGTAACCAACATTTACCAAATCAACCTAAGCTCTCTGAATGCATACAGTGCTCGTAGAAGGCAGCTCCACCTCCATCGGTCCATTTAAATCCTGATGGGTGTTGCTTGTATTATATATATAAAGTAGCTTCACTTCTTGTCCTTACGTGTTTCTGCAGCTTTGGTTTTGCAGTTGATCTCCACCCTTGTCTCAAGCCATGGCCTTATCTCCAGCCTTTGTGGCGCCAAGTGTGGTCGCCAGCCCGCTCTCGGCCCCGGCGGTCGCCGAGCGGACCGTTGGCTCGAGTGGCTCTCGGTCCCAGGTGTCTGCTCAAACGGTGGCCGCTTTGGCGGCTGTGGGTGCCATTGCGGGGCGAGGTCGGAAGTCTCGCGGCACACGAGTGACGCGTCAGGCGGTGGTGGCCGAAGTCGGCGCCAACGCGGGAGAAAGACCCAAGGAAGGCAAACCCTTGAAGGTGATCGTTGCAGGTGGCGGAGTTGGTGGCTTGACGTCTGCTTTTTCCATGCTCAAACAGGGCTGGGATGTCCGGGTCTATGAAAAGACCGGGAAGTTTGCACGCTTTGGTGGTCCAATCCAGTTCGCCAGCAATGCCACGGCTACTCTGAAGGCCATTGATGAGCGCCTTTTTGAGCGTGTCATGGAAAAGTTCACTTTCACTGCCACTCGACGTTGCGGCATCAAGGATGGACTTAGATCAAATGGCGACTTCAGGATGACGGATGTGTTTGACCCATCATACTTCACGAATCCCGACGTGCCAGCAGATTGGTTCATCTCTTTTCCTTTGAAGGCAGGTTTCTTCGGGGTTGGGTGGGATTGGGTGGGTGTTCCTGGGCTTGTTCATCTCTGTCAGCTTCTTTTCTGCGCTGTGTGCATAAGCAAGTGCAGCAAGTGTGTCATGGCTAGCTGCAAATGGATTGGGCATGGTCTTTTGGCTCCATGCACATTGTCTTTGCCTAATTATTCCAACTTTCTTGCACATTGAAGCAAGCTCATATTGAAGTGCTACTTTGATGTGTGCACCTTCAGGAGTGTGCGGACTTCTTCAACCTCCCATACACTGGTGTGATCAACCGTCCTGATCTTCAGGATATTCTTCTTGATGAGTGCAAATCACAGAAAGAGGATTTCATTGTCAACGGCGTGTCCGTCGTTGGTTATGACGCTTGGGCGGCATATCATTCACCATGTCAGTGCTCGCTGCTGTGCATACATTCATGCTAGGTACGTCAATAAGTGTGCCACTCAACATTGACAAACCGACATTCCCGCTGGAACGACAATGAATGATTCTAGCCACCTTGTCCTGAGACTCTCAGTGTTGGCACAGGAGAACCATGACAAGGGCGTGACTGTCAAGCTCTCAGATGGCACCACCGAAGAAGCGGATCTTTTGGTGGGTGCTGATGGCATTTGGTCGGCGGTCAGAGCGCAGATGTACAATGAGGGAGGAGTGAAGGAGCGTTCCAAGGACTCTCCGCGTGTCTTCCGTGCATTTTTCTACCTAGAGGTCCTTGGGTTGTAGTTCAGAGTCGGCCAAGGAGCGGGGAGGTATCCATTTGGTATCCATAATATGTCCCCTGTCAACAGGGACATAGGGACATATAGGGGCATACGTTCTCTACCACTTTCTCACTACAGATTTTCGCTTTAAGAGGTTATGTCAGTTTGAGGTTTACACCTGTGATGGCCAGGACGGCAAGTCGATCCAAGGGTGTCGATACTCTGGCTACACCGTTTTCGCAGGAGAAACGGTTCTTGAGGCCCGAAATGCGGATTTGAACCGCATAGCTGGGGTAGAGCGGATGCACTGGATCAGCGGGCAGAGCAAGGACTCGTAAGGCCATAAGGGCATTGTGGATATTTGCGGATCATATCCACTTGTTTGCAGGTTCCCGACTACTACGAGTGCGGCTACAAGGTCTACATTGGTCCCCAAAGGAAGCTTGGTGATGCACATTAGAGAGACAGCCAGAAAAACGATTGCCATGCTGCATGTTGTCACACTCCTAAACTAGTGTTATAGAGGAGTGTGTATGCAACTTGGTGGGTGGTATTTTTGCACGATCGTAACAGGAGTTCCCTTCGATGCTGATGGGTTCGATTCGATTGTTTTGGAAAGAATGAGGTACTTCGTAACTTCTGATGTGGGTGATGGACGAATCCAGTGGTATGCCTTCTGCGCTCTGCCGCCAGGCACTCACAAGGCCGTTTCCTTCCATCTCCTGATTAGTCCTTCGTGGTTTGTACTATTTCGTGCTTATGTCTGCCTTTTGGTTCATAAACCTGCGACTGTTGGTCCGTGTCTGAATCAACATCCCTTCGTGCGTCATGCTGCGAGTCGCCCTGGGGCCAGGCTGGAGACACTTGGGCAGGTGAGGGCGGCGATGCCAAGAAGGGAGCTGATGTGATCAGTTATTTGAAGGGCCTTCATGAAGGTGGGACTGTCCCGTTGAAGTTGATCATGATCAATGATAATTAAACGATATATGTAATATATATATATAGAGATTGTGTTTTTAATAGATGGTATATATATATATGTATGTATAGACACTTTAATTCTTATAAAGTGCAAGGATTATCATCGACCCGATCGCTTGCACGATCCAGATAGAGAATACATGTGCCGTCGAGGCTGGTCGAGTGAAGTTTTCTACGTGCTCGACAACACGGATGCGGAGTCGGTGGAACAGCATCTTGGTGACCAGAAACTGTCATCCGACATGTGTGCATGAACGAGGCAGAACTTGCCTGAGTAGCATGAATGATTTTGCATCGCTCAGCATCATAGTCATAGCCGCCACTGGTCACGGCTAAGTTTAGCCCAAGATGCACAAGATTGATGCAATGTCTCTTCTCGCCATCGAGGCGAGACTTGTACGATCGCTTGCCTGAGTTCTTCCGCTCCTGGGCCGACGGTACCTTGAGTGCAGCGTTTCAGAGTTAGGAAGGCATTCTACAGGACTCGACTTATAGGAATTTATAGGCCTCTTTCTATAGGCAAGGCTTTTGAGTGCTTGACACCTTTTCTTTTCGACATTTTCAAGGCAACGTGGTGCTCATGGGAGATGCAGTGCACCCAATGATGCCTAATCTTGGCCAGGGTGGCTGTCAGGCTATTGAGGACTGGCACATGGAATGAGAGTCTTGAAAGACTTGTTCTGGCAAGACAGCGAAAGGCTTAGGGGCTAGGCCGGCTTTATGCTAGAGTATCTTAGTATCACCAGCTTGACTTCGTAACCGCTGGAAGGCAACCATCCATTTGAATGGCTTGCAGCCATGGCACTTGCCAGGATGCGTATGAGCTGACGCGTATTCTGGCGGCGAGTAAGACCTATGCGGCAGATTTTGATCCAAAGGCAGCACAATAATTCCATGACATTCCAAGTCCATGTGATTGTGCAGGTGCCAAGTTGTCAAAGTGTTTCTTGGCAATGGCTTGAGGATGAGCATGTGCAAGTATATTTGTACATACTGGTGTACGCATATACTGTGTATATATATAATATATATATATATACTGGTAGCACTTGCATTTGTTTGGACTTGCATTCTGGAGCCCCAAAGCCCGTCACATCGCAGGTCACGGCCGAAGCTCTGCAGAACTTCTACCGCTCGCGGATGCCTCGTGTGGCAGGTGTCTCTTTGATGTCCGGCCTGGCTTCGGATCTCATCATCAACGCTGGGGAGCCAAGCTCAAGTTGACGACTACACAACACACGCACACAGATATATCATGATATATCATATGAATCATATGTATGGCATATTGTGTCTGTGAGGTGAGCCAGGTGTCCCAGGTTTCCCCATATTTCCCATGTCCAAAATGGCATGACTCCAGTTTTAGACTTGGGCGACCGCCATCTTCTGAGAGGGTGAAGTTGCACGTCGTGACTGTTTTTTTACAACTGCAAGAGCACCCATATATGATCCAAACACGTTTTTATATTTTTTGGAAGTCCTTTAGATGCTACTTACCTTCGAAACGTACTTCAGAAGGTGAACGCTCATTTCACTCATTTGACTTAGGCCTTTGGCACGCCATGGTCGCCCCACGATGCACCTTGCTGGCACCAGACGGGACTGGGTACAGGGCTGTTCTTTTCTCCCTTCTTGTTGGACCAGCCTATATAACCTGGATTCTGGGTCTCCATTTCACCTTGGCAAATCGTTGCCACTCCAACTGAGGAGAAGGGCACCGATTGGAGATCGTACCTGACCCTGGGCTGGAAGCCCTTCCTCCAGTTCATTTTCTTCCCGCTGCAGCTTCTTGGACACAACTTGGTTGCGAAATTACCTGCGAAAAAGGGTAGCCTCGTAGTCACTAGTCAAGCTGCAAGTCGCACTGACCAAAACTGACGCGTGCATGATTCGGATTTGTTCAATGGCAGGTTCCTCTTCCTATATTCCAACCATCCTACGGGCGGCATGGGCGACCTCCCAAAGAGAATGGAGGAAGAGTGGCGAAAACGACACAAGAAGTCTGCGGAGGCAGGGCCAAGAACTGTAGTTTTGTGGATCCCAGTGAAGGACGGACATATCGAGATCGTTCTGTATTTAGATCCATATCAGCACAGTTGTGCCACATCACCTGGATGGCATTTTGGTGAAGGTAGCAAACAAAGAAACAACATGAATGACATCCATGCTGAGCACCTTGAAGGCAGCTTTTGCCGCAGCAAAGGGAGGTAAAAAGATGCTTCATCAGCCATCTTTCTTTGCCAAAGTCAATGCGGTGGAAGAGGAGAAGGAGAAGGCTCAACTCGTGCAAAACGTGGCTAGAAGGAATGGGCAACCCCAAACCACTTATACTTATGCCAGGTCATTGTCGCGTGAATATTGGGTATGCAAGTGATGAGCTGTTGGCAATTTCGGCTACACAACAAAAGAAACGGCACTCTGGTGCAGACATAAGCCAAATATTTATCAATGGCATTCGGACCGCCATTTGATTGTAATGTGCAGAGCTGTTCGCATTTGCTGCTTAGTTGAACCACTAGTTGAACCTACCGAGTATCTCGGCATGTTTGCTGCAGGTGCCCGCATAGTCCTGCACTTGAGACGCGATGTGTTGTTTGAGATTCAAGAGTGAGCTTGAGATCCTGAGTTGTTGATGTGCATCGAATACCAACAAGCAGACTCAGCAGACTTCCAGATTTGGTATGGGGCATTGCTTTTCATCCAACTCAGTTGGCTGGGAGGGATGGTGAAGACACCTCCCCGAAGACCTGGCCATGGTGCGGATCTTAAACCACGCCCCTGTGCTGGACCGCCATGAAGGATGTTTGCTCGACATGCCTGGTTTCATGTGCTTTTTTAAACCCAGCACGCTCAAATTGGAGGGATTGAAGTGGCCAAATCGGATGGGGGTATGGACGATTTTGACTGAGCTGTCTTTTGCTTTATGTTGAGGTAGACGACCACAAGGAAACCAGGGGTGGAGATGGGCACCCCAAACCACATATACCAGGATGTCCCCCCACAAGAAAGGTCAAATCCCTTGTGATGGCAGCAATTGAAAGGTGAGAAAGATGATCGGTTGTGCTGTGATCAGCTCTGAGGCTTTAGAGTGAAAACTAGCAAACAAGTAAACATGCGTGCTCTTTGCCTTGCTTGGCTACTGGTTGAAATGGTCAAAAGAATCCAATGCCGATTTGTGCCGCATCACCTCCATACTGAGAGGGCTTGAGTAATGCCAGAGCTCGGGAGCATCACATGTAGCTGAGCAGTACAACAGCCCAAACCCCAGGCTTCCTAACGAGTTTCGACACCTGAGATGGGCACTCTTGACTTCAGTATTTGACTGGAAACTCGCTGCAACTTTGGGTGATGCTCCTGGGCTGTTTTTCACCTCACCCCAATCCAAGCTGGCTTTGCAGCCGTTTGGCACTTTAAGATGGGGAACACCGCAAGGGATAGCAAAAGGACGCAAAAGGACTTGAGAGGACATGAGGGGACCATGTGCAAGGGGACGGTCTGCAATGAGATAAAATGTAATGATTGATGGTTTGGCAGTTTGCATTGCCGGCATTCAGTGAAGCTGTTCTGAAGGCACCAAGTGTATACTGTAATATGTATACATAATTCTCTCTCTCTATGGATGCAAGGCATGATATTACATGTGTGTGCATAGATCGCAAGAGTTGCCCATTGCACTCCATTCGCGCCTGGGTTTCCTGGGTGCAAGGAACCTCTCGGAACTTAGCTGAGGTGCTTGGAACCTTCAAGACCGCGGCTGAAAGCTGCAGAGCATGCCATGTCTTTGTCGGTGTCTCAGATACAGATACTCAATGATACTCAGATCGATTTTTTAAGGGGCTGCATGGCACGAGGATTGCTTCTCTTACTTTGAGACTGGTTTCCTCTCGACTTGCCCTGACCTGTCATCATTAGTCATTAGTCATTTGTCATGAAGTACATAGACCACAGTATGCGGTCTTTGCTGGCACCACTTATTCGAAAGATGTCCCATGTGCCATAATGTGCGTGCTCATCCTGCAGCAACTGACTGGCTTGGACCACAGAAAGATTTGTAGAGAGGCATGGCTTCTCCGGGGTTTGGCATCAGCTTTGTCAGAGCTTCACGACGACCCATTTCGGCGGTGGAGGCGGAAGGCAAGGTGCCCAATCCTCGCGACAAGTCCAGAGCAGAACCGTCGGCCATTTTCAAGGTGGAGAGCACTTGCAAGCCAGACAAGGAAGTGGACAGTTGGACGGTTGTTGTTGTTGTCATCTGTTTTCCACAGCGTTGTTTTCCTGCAACTTGTCCCCAATTGATGCAACCCCCACTGTGACAGGTGCTTTTTAATTTTCTCAGGCTTTGGGCAAATGTGCACGGCCGGAAGTGGCTTAGGTGCTGAAATGCATTGGAAAAAAGTCATCCCTGTTGCAAGCCCAGCAGGACTGGTTTGATGATCCACCACCAGGCCTTTGTGAAATGAGCCAGCAGGACAGAGAGATTTGGAGGGAAGTCGTTCAGCAGGATGCTTTCCAACCCTTTCGAATGTCATACTACTCCTGGACGGAGTATCTCGTAGATGATCCAGCTCCCGCACCAAATCGCCGGACTCATGAAGAGTACACTCAGAGGCTGGACATTTTCATGGACAAAATTCAAGACAATCACGAGAAGTTGAAGCAGTTGGTTCAAAGGCGCCGGGCGAAAGCACTTGGTTCGGACGCCTCAGCTTTTGGCACTTGCATGTCAACGGCATCCGCATGGCTTTGCAGGTGCAAGTGAGGTGAAAAGACCATATGGGAGCCACGAAAAGCAAATTGTTTAAGTAATTCTGTTTCAGCTGAGATTGTCCCGAAATTTGAACTCTGAAAACGGATGAGAGGGACCCTGTGAAGTAAGCTTTGTCCACAGGCGGTCGGACCTCCTAAGTATCCGTTTTGATCGGAGATCTTCAATTCATTCTCAATTCCGCTGATGCTCCATCCGAGCCGTGTGGCCTCATGAAGCCACAGCGAAATCACCCCCCACCTGTTCGCGCAGCGAAATGACCCATCAGATGAAAAGTGCGATGTGTCCGACTCTTGTCGTGTCATCTTCCGAGTGTCGAAGTTCAATCAATCTTCAAGCTACGCGGTTCGAATGTCACACACAGTAGAACTTACTGGCCAGCATCTTTCAGACCTGCAAAAAAGACTTGAAAAGAGATGCCGTGCACTGAGTTACTGAGGTATGATGACTTCCTTCAGTCCACCGAGCCCCCAGGCATGCAGATGTGAATCATTGTCGAATCGCCGGGCTAAGAGTCCAAGCGATGTGATGGACTTTCAACCCAGCTGATTAAGCTGTGCCTGTACTGTACTGCTTAATTGAAAAAGATGCACGTGCCCAGCCCACTTTTCATTTGAATCTTGAGGCATCAAGTTCTTTGTGACAGCAGCAGCGGCCTGTGAGGCGATGATCGCTCTGGGGCGCTCCGCGCAGACCGTTTGGGCTCATTGTTGTGGGTGACGCACAAAGCCTAAAGCAGCTGCCAACAAATCGTTCCAGCCTACACTGTTGCAGGAGGGTCTATTCTGGGAAAAAGCACTGAAGGTCCTGGCGGATGGGTCCTGCCCTCGTGATGGTGCAGAATTTGCGCAGTCACACTATCTATTCCCTCGTGCATTTCGGGCTTTTTGCCTTACTTTTTGATATGTTGTGTCCAAGTCAGCTTGCCATTCCATGAAGCAGGGAAGCAGCATGCAATGCAGCCAACTTCTGCTTGGTTAGCCACACTTGGCCGGTCGCTACTTTGGGCCCAAGCGCGCAAGGGCGCCCCTGGACCCTCCCTGGACCCTCCCTGGACCCTGGACCCTCGATGGCATCACAGGCCTCGGAGGAAAGCCCCGAGGCAGGAGCCAACAAGACCATGGCGAGAGAACCAGGAGACACAGAGAAATGTTGCAGAGATGACGAAGAGAGAGCTTGACAAGAGAGCCCAGGTGGGAAACCGGAGAAAACTTAGAGAACTCCAGGCCGCCTACCTGACCTACCTTATAGATGGGAGCGCTCTGGGCCACAGTCTTCCAGAACTCAGGAGCTGTGCTTTCGAGAGGGTGAGACAGGATGTTAATCCATCACAGATTTTCCCTCGTGTACCGGAACATGCCTTCACGAGATATGATACATACGTCCTATGAATTCCTATGACGTATGATTGAAGGACGGCTTTAGATTCAACACCACGGACAGTAACTTTCTGTTCGTTGCAAAGGTATGAATGGGTCACAAAACGCTGATATGTCACATGTCTGAATATCTGCCAGCTTCGATCCCATGTTACCTCCGGGCCAGGATGATTCATCGTTTAGACAGCCCAGCCTGAAGCTCAATCTGTTGACGGTGACGGTTAGCTCACCCAATTGAATGCAATGCCACGAGTTGTCTGAAACCCGTACCCAGAGCAGCATACCGTAACTTATAGCGCATGTTATATCATAATATCATGCATTATCATATACAATCATATACACATCAAATAACATTATTGTTTTGACAGGCGCGTTTGGTCGCTTGCTGTCAGCAAGTGCAGGAGCGATGCCCAGCTCCTTGGCTCGAATGATGCTGAAAGATGCTTATTCCCAGCAGATAAATACCATTGTTGTTACTTGCACTTCCAATTTGGCACTCTTGGGTGCTCGTGCAAGTATGGCAGAGACCAACTCTTTGAATATTCAGACTGTAGTGATTCCATGTGATTCCTGCGACTACCTTCACGCTGTCACTTGCTTACAATTAGTGCTTCAGCCGGTGCTGCAAGGCCGCACGCATTCGGGTATTTGTCAGCACCCAAGGCCCGTCCAGCACTGAGACATGGGGTTTGGAATTTCAACCAAGATTGGTCTCGAGTTTGTCATCTTCAGACTTCGCGGCCTCAATTACTCTTGTGGATTCTCCACCCACACAAGTCCAGAATGCAGCTCACTGCAAGATTTGATGTGCCTCCACTTGGTGGTTGATCTGCTTGACGATCACATGCATTGACAAGTCAAAGCTGATTGGGGCGACATTTGTTGTGCTAGTGGAGCACATGGGCGTGCTACAGCCTTCAAGAGAACCACTTGCCGCGTGCCTGTGCACAGCTCCAACACAAACTAGAGCTTTTGAACACAAAGACAATTGCCGTATTGTGTAGGTACATGTCGTAGATGCAGTAGTTGGATTCAGAGTTCTGCGGTATAGCTCAAAGCTTGCACAGGTTTTCAGCAAGTGCGAGATGAAATGAGCTCAAACTTGCAGTCCGACTGGGCGGCCTGGCTTCATGATTTGACCAGAATCTCCTTTGAAAGGCCTAGACATGCAGAGTGGCACCTTTTCCCGGTAGCACGCCCTCGGAAGGATTTGAGCTGATGGACTTTTAGAGATTGTGTTCGCACGGCATGTTATTCAGAATCAAAGACGCGTGATGACGCGTGATCGGACAGTTTAGTTGGGAAAGTTCAAGGTGCAATGCGTTCCTCCTGGCAGTGATGTTGTGGAGTTCTTGCTAGAGTTTGCCCACCGGCGGGCCTCCAGAGGTTGCGAAGTGACTAGTGGCTGCAAGAATTGGGTGGATGGGATCAACCATGATGGGATGGATCTTGCATCGTCCTCACATGTTTTCGGGAATCCCCATGATGCAAACGTCACAAGGTGCCCCTCTCTTTGCCGAGGATTGTGGTGTCCAATGCCTCAGAGGTGGTGAGCGCGGTGGAGGGCAAAGTAAGCTACTTGAACGTACATCGATTTGCAGTCAAGTACTCCTGTATCAACATTGGCCATGGCATATAGGTTTTGGCCATTGCATATAGGTTTGAATGATTACCATGTATTTGGGCGATCTTGGGCCATTTTGGCTGGTACACTGGGGTCACTAGGGCTTCAAGGTGAAAATTGGAACCATCTAAGGCTGCTTGGCTTTCATGTTTGTGGATGACGAGCTCTTGATGCCGGGTTTGCGGCGAAGACCCGTGGTAGACGCAGAGGCAGGTTCTTGCGGCGAAGACCCGTGGCTTCGACCCGAAGAGAACTGATGCAATGACAGGTGCCACTGTGCTCCGCAGCTCCTGGAGGCGACACTGACAAAACAACTAGTAACTACTAGCAATGGCCTCCAACCTAAGAGCGATGGCCTCCAACCTACTAGCCCCCTTGATCGGATCAGACTTGATGCACGGTTCCTTAAGTTTGGGCACCCACACTTCATGTCAGACATGAGTGGCAATATGATGCATACCGTTCTACTATTCACTAGTCCTCTTCTTGGGCAGGCAGGCTGGGCTCATCTGGGCTCTAGAAGCGATAATTAGTCCGAAAGCCTCCCACAATCCGTGTGTCTTTAAGACGTGGAAGTGTCTGTCAACACGGCATAGGACATGTTCATACATTTTCTTCCCCAGATAGAAACATATACAGTAACTATTTGTGACACCCACTTCCTATGCTTGAAGTAGGAGCCAACGGCTCTCGCTATCTAGTGCATCACGCGAGATTTGAAACAAGTCTTTTTGCCTGGTGCTTTGTGCATGCCACTTTTCTCAAGCCAGTGGACAAGTGCTTCGATTGTGTCATTGAGTCAGTTACCATGTCAAGAACGAATCATTTTCAAAGGGCACAGGCCCAGGCCAGCATCCCTGACAACCAACAGGCACGAAGTGCGCATGGAAGTTTGTACTCTTGTACATTGTGGTCCTTTCATCCATGGGGACCTGTGCAAGCTTCCCGGTCGGGCCAGATGAATGGTCTTGGCCAAAGGCAGATCGAATACACGGGCATGGTTTTGCAAACAGTTCTGGATTTCAGTGCTCTGATGTATCAAACTCATTCACATCCCAAAGATCCTAAGGGTCTCATGGCAAGTGACATCGACTATGAAAACGTTTTTGCGGTAACTGTTCACCGATGTACAGGCGATGTCAACAGCATGCTGCATGGATTCCCGGGCTTTGCTGCTCCTGCGTTGTTTGCTGGCGGTCACCTACGTGGGTGCCTTGCTTGCAGAGGATTTCAATGTTTCAGTGTTGGGCTCTTCGCAAAGGCAAGCCGCAAGTCATGGGTTGGACTACTAAACTACTTCCATTGTTGTGATCCTTGCACCTTAGGGGTTTGTTGAACGATAACACCTGAGAGTTGAGAGTGACTGAACATCTCAGATTGAAATTGCATGAAATTGCTCTTAATATTCTCAGTTTTGAAGCGCGTTGCGTACAACAAGTTCCCTGACCACTAAATTACTTAGCTTTTTTTTCGAGCATTTTTTATTTTTTTCCGCAGCTGTTTTTCTCTCCGCAGCTGTTTCGGGGGGCCCTATCGCCTGTGCCCTTTCGGTGGTTGGGAAACTCAGTCAGACTGTTTTATCTTGTCCAGCGTTGTTTATTTTGTCATTTATTTGATTGTTTTTGATTTGACATTGAGGTGTTGACCTTGGCGGTGGCCTTTGCTGTGAGCCCTACTTCATTGCACAAGGCCAGCAGTGTTTTGGAGAACGCAGGGATTGTCATTGCTTTAGGGACTTGAGAGTTGA